AGAAAGGGGAACATAAGCAATTGCCCATATTTACAGAAATAAAATATTTTTGAGTTGCTATTTTGTTTACAATACTGAAAATTAGTCTGTAGTTCGTTTTTAATGCAAAAATGTTTCTAATTGGAAAATGAAAAGTTGTTAGTATTCAAATGTTGCTAACCTTGTAACTTGTATTGTTGGTACTTTTGTTCATCACGCAATTATGAATAGTGGGGTCGAGTTTCTGGAGCTTAAGGAACCGCGCGTAGATAATATACTTCTTCACCATTCAGTTTTTCTCCCCTCCCATCTGACACACGGTTTTTATTATTTTTCACAAAAATAAATCAAATATAAATTAGGTTTGATAAGGCTTTATTGGGCTACGATAAACAATAAGTAAAAGTATGTTCAGCAATAAATCAATTTCAACTCTTCAGTCTTCAAATGAAATAATAAAATGATTTATATTTTCGATTGTCAATATTGTATAATTTATATTATGTGAAGATGTTTTAAGTTTTCAAAATAATGTTACAGCGTATAGCCAGTTTTCAAGAACTACGGTATTTTAGAATTTGTTAAAATTGTACATCGTTTTCAACTCTTTGACACGTTCAAGAAAAATTTTACTTCTGAAAACTTTTTTTGCGTGGCAATTTTTGACCGGCAGAAAATTCTCGAAATATCATCAAATTCTACCATTCGTCTTCACATCCCCAGCATTACAGAAGACAGACATTGCGGAGATTTCAAAGGCGAAAAAAAAAACTCAGAAACTCCACAGAAACGAACGTGTTTTCGCGCGACGTTTTGCAGCCCGCGCCTCCAAAAACTTCCATTCGGCGCCGTCAATTGCGCGGCGCGGTTTTGCGCTTCTCGCCGCCGCCGCGAGGGGCGCCTCAATCGCATCGTGCGAGTCCCCTCCAGAGAAGTTGGGCAATTCACGGGCCTCCCGCCAGCGTTTCTTCCTGCACCTCCGTTGCGACGCCGAAACGCGAGAACTATTTGGGAGGCTTGGCGCTCGACGAAGGAATTTCCCCGGGTAATGTGGAGGGGGGGCGGGGGGGGGGTCCCAACATGGAGCACGCCGCGCGTCGATCTTTTATTTTTTTTTTTAACCCGCTCCAAACCCTACTCCCCCCCCCACCCTCCCTCGACGGCCGGGCCGGGCGAAAGCGCTTTCATGGCACCGGCGAATAACGCGTTCCCATTCAATAACTAACTTTGGCCATTAGTGGCTTCCTTGTACATTGTTCAACTCGAGGCTGTGCGTCGTCGACGCCCTACAATGCTTCCAATTATTTGCCCTGCCCCGTGGCGTTTCACGCCGGCGCCGCGCCGAGAGCGCCACCGTCGCCGATCGTCGCGTAATTGGAAGCCGCCCCGGAGCTGATTGGAGCCAATAGGACCAATGAGGTGGATTCTTTGTCCGCGCGTCGACTCGCGCCGCCGACGCCGCCGTCGTCTGCGGTTTGCTACGGCCATCGTCGTCGTTCTCGTCGTCGTTGACGTCGTCGACTGAGTCAGGGGAGCCGGAAGGGAAAGCGATGGCAAGTAGGTGCCCTTCCACGCCACGAAATTGGGTTTCTTGGTCGTTACGATGAAGGAACGATCCAGTGGGGCATCGACAGTTGTTCTCGGGTTTGGTGGACGATAACCTTTGTTAGCTCTAATAACGGAAATTATCGTTCAAATTGCTGCTCTCAGTTTGTCTTCTAGGGTAATGCAACTTTACTAGATTCTGCGAAGGATTTTCTATTATCTAGACCTCTAATCTGCGAGCAGTTTGTCGAAAAACACATTAAACTTAATAATTTTAAATACAAACCTTTTTTAATACCACTCGAAATTTAAAATTCTATGGAAATTTCAAAAAATGATTTTATTTGGAACAGACGTTGATTTTGTACTAATTCTCTCATATTATTTTTTTCTGAAAATAATTGGAAATCGTCATTTCCAAAATGACTCGCCAAGTAATGAAGCGTACTGTTTTTCCAAGTCATTCATTTTTCAGAATTATCTCTGGATTTCTTTTAGAGATTAAGCGTTTCCGATTCCTCTTCACGAATGTTGCCGTAAACTGTTAGTATAATTTGTTCTGATTAAGTTTCTGGGGAGCACAGATATGCTTGCTGGCACTGTGTGCTACAACTCTTTAGTATTGCTTTAAGATATGAAATAATATACAGTCGGCTGATGGCGGCGGTGATCTTCATGCGCTGGATGGCGAGATCCGCCGCCGATCTAAATCTGTTTACGGAGATTTTTCCTAACCAGATATCTCCCACCAGCGTGGCACCACACAAACATAGACATGCTCTAAGTTCCTGACTGGTCCCTCGACATATGCAGTACTATCGTGTATGAGAGTGTGAATGTGTGTAAGGAATGATGATATTATAATGAAAAGGAAGAAAAGATAGCACGCGGTCCGTGGCCCATTTATTAGGATACTACTCCGGCATTCGCCTGGTGTTGACCGGTGTAACCAAGGAAAACTACAGATCAGCTAGAATTATCCGCAACACAACGGCTGCATTCGACCTAGTTATGTAATTAGTGGCGAAAATCCGGCAGCTGTTGGAATTCGAACCCAGGACTGCACTACAGTAACATCAGTAAATGCCACGAGTCACTCTTTTGAGTTTCTCAAACATGAGCTTCCAAAAATCTATGAAAGGTCAGGAATAGATCTCTGTGTTAGTGCACAACAGGAATTCTTTATTTCCGTTATAAGAGCATTTAACACCTTCACAGAATGTTTATGTAAATAAATTTATTTCCAATCTGCCCAATCACTGAAAACTTGTTATAGATTTGTTACTATTGCTAACAAAATAACAACGCTCTTCAAATTCCTACTTCTCTTGAAACTGGAAATCGTGATCTACAAAAAAAGTGTTCACAGTGAGCTACAAGCTTAAATGTTCTCAAGAAAAGCAAAGGGTTATTTCAGCTTTAGGGATTTCTTTATTCATTCTCGCTTCTCGTGAATATGTCTTTCCGGAATGTGATGAGAAGCTCATTTTATTATTAGATTAGATAAATATACTGAAGTTGAACTAAGAACTCGAGGCCGTAAATGAATATCCTCTTTCATCATATCCGAATCGCCTTTTTCTCATTCGTAAGCATGACCATGCATTACCCATCGAGTACATTGCTTGGTCTCATTCATTGATTTGTCTTTCAGTAATCTCTTGCTCTTTCTGTCCATTAGCTCATTCAATATTTGAATACACTTCGTTTCTTCCTAGTACTCTATACTTTTAAAACTTCTGTCGTAACCTCACCTTTTTTTCCTAATAAAATGTACATGCAGTAGTTCCCTCCTTTATATTCCGCCTCCAATTCGTTTTATTCTTAAAGACCATATTTTCGCTCCTTACATGAAAACACTTCACATGTCATTCAATGATTATTCTTTTTGGTGTTGCTACAAAATGGTATCTTTGAAATATATATATATATATATATATATATATATATATATAGAGAGAGAGAGAGAGAGAGAGAGAGAGAGAGAGGCTTTCCCATAGTTTTTCTTATGATTTCTAGTAATTTCATACAATATCGTCAATCGTACTCAGTTTAGGTACTAAAATATTTAAATTATTGAACATTATTTTCATTGATGCAGTCAATGCATCAATTCAATTGATGCAGTCAATTATTTCTCAATGTCAGCAAGTATTGTATTGCTCCCTACGCTCGTGAGTTGATTGGCATTACGATCGCTTCCACGAACACCTGCGTTCGTCGAACACAGCCGTCGCGCGTTGCCATCGCTTGCAGATCGTCTTGTTACGTCCTCCATTTTGCAACCTCATCGTCATGGGGCTCATTAGGGGCTACGTAATTATGAGGAGGCGGCGCGACGCGAGGAGAGGCAGGTCACTCGACCTCCGACGCGAAGCGACGCCCCGCCCTCAGCCTCTGCGCTAATCGGTTTACCATGCTTGCGAGGGAGACGAGCGCACTGCGCCGCTCAACTCTGTCCCTCTGCCCTCCACCCTGCCCCTGCCCAATCCCCTTCCCTCAGCCACCCTCCTCCCTAACCTCTTTAACCTCTCCGCTCGATCCCCTCCCTCATCGTCAACTCGTTTCATCCCTGTTCCTAGCCACCTCCATTCTCATAGAATGCAAAACCCCTAAACGCAACATGTACCAAAACCCCATTTCCTCAATCGGCCCAAGCCTCCAACATCTTACCCCAACTCCACATCCAACTCCATATACCCACTCCATATAACCACTCCATATCCCACTCCGCATCCCAACTCAGTATCCACCAAATCCCAAACTCCATTATCCCAACTCCATATCCCAACTCCATATCCAGCTCCATATCCCAAGCTCCATATCCAGCTCATCATCCAAACTCCATATCGCAGCTCCATATCCCAACTCCATATCCAAATCCATACCCCCAACTCTAATATCCAACTCTATAATCCCAATCTATATCCCAACTCCAATATCCAACTCTATATCCCAACTCCATATCCCAACTCCATATACCAACTCCATTTCCCAACTCCATTTCCCAACTCCATATCCCAACTCCATATTCCAACTCCATATCCTTACTCCATACTCTTCACCCAAAACCCCCAATCCCATACTCCAATTACCCTTTTTGTAAGGGAAATTTACATAAACGTAAAAAGTTGACTGATTGTACTGTAACCTTTACCTACCTGTGTTTGATACCAACGCTACATTCAAATAGCGCGGGCAGTACCCTCTGTAAGAGCTTGGAAACCCGTATTTATGTATATTCTGAGACATTTGAGTTGTAGTGTCCGTGCCGACCGTCGCGGTAGAGAGCAGTGGAAGGAGAAGGCTTTGAGACGCGAGAGAGGAAGGTGGAAAAAGTGTGCTATTGGAGAGTGGTGGTGAGTGTGGTGAGAACGAGGAAGATAAACGGACACTGAAACTGCTGCACCTAGGTTTATGGCCTTCCATTTCTTACACTACATTGCCGTGTGAGAACCAGGATATGCGCGGAGACATATTCGGTGACGCCAGCCCGCTGACCGTCGCAAGCTTGTGCCGTTGAGTGAGGCAAGACCCCGAGAAGAGATCGGTAATAATCGTCTTTTCTATATTTTTCTCCTTATCTTTCGCCACGAACTTGCCATGACTGCGAGAACCATTAAACTCGCCCAGTTGCAAAGACGTATTTCCGCGTGTCATGACATCCTCCAGTGTATATAGCGGTCATTAGACCCTGCACAAAAAAAAGTTAAGAAAGAGAGCAACAATGTGAGCAAAAAGAGAGTGAATGTTGTAATGAGTGCTCAGAATGTGCATATAACTAACTTTACAAGCTGTGCTTGATGCTCCCTTTTTATTGTTGTCAAAGTGTATAATTGTATTTGAATTTGTTGATTTGTTAACTTTTGTTCCTTCAAGAGAGAAGAGAAACTTTGTTATATTGATTTTGTTATTGTACAAAGGGTAATTTTTGTTTTGGTTTGTTTAAGAATATATGTATGTGGGTTTTTGAAATTTTCTTGATACATAAAAAAATATTTTCATTTTTTGGGGCTGTTGATTATGAACAGGTCACAGTTGTGAACTTCTAACAGTTACAAGTAAAATAAATTTAGAAATCAGTTTCAGTACGTTAATGGGAATAAGGTGTTATTTAAGTTTAATAAGAATAAGTTTCTTCTCAGATTCGTTTGAAAATCGGTATTTGCCCACTTAAGAACGTAAATGTGACGTCGAATATGGATGTGCTTGCATTTTCTAACATTACTGTGATTTCTGGTTTTCTCCGTATTCACCTGGCGTTTTTCAAATTAAATAAGTTCCAACGTAATACTGTACGTAGGTGTTTGCAAATTTGTTAAAATACGGTAATATGGACTGAATAGTTCACTTCTTATATTTAAAGCAACACGACAGTTCTGCGGCACGATTCACTTGTACACAAAAAATCAGTGTTGCCATCCACTTGGAAGGAAATTGGTTCTGTGTACTGGGGTTTAATCAATGCCACCTACATAGATTTTTTAAGGTGGCATAGGTTTAATTCCCGTTCTAAACACTAAGATCGCAGCGCTAAAACGAAATTTCTTAGAATTTTTTGGCCGGATTCAAAAACAAATTATCAGATCCTCACCAGCAATCTGAGTCGAGTCGAATCCTGTGTCTCGATTGGTGCACGTAAAGTAGTCTAACCGTGAGTGAGGGATTCGCACACACACGCAGTTACTCAAAATACTCTACAGGAATGCATTATAGAAAAAATTGAAAACTTCAAAATGTTTTTTTTCTGTTTATTTTTTGTCGCATCAACGACTAAGGTTATTAGCGGCATTCCAAAATGTTGTTTCAGGGCGTTTAGTACTTTTTCTCCGAAATTGACGAAATAACGCATATATAAAATTTTTGGAACGATACAATCTCTATTTATAGTGAACATTGATTTAAACATTATTCTTAATATGCAATTTTAATGTCTTTAAATAAATTCTATATTTTATAAGATACCTTGCTATTCATCTCTGTTTAAAACCGAAATGCATCACAAAATTATAATCGTTTTTACTTCATTCTAAACGTACTACGTAAATAAGGAGTATAGAGAAAGTTATGTAATAATGCGGAAAATCAATTTAAAATAGATTTTACAGGAAACTCAGTAGTTGTTATTTTTTGTAATAGAACACACGTGCCACATGATTGTTGTACATTGCGCAATCATATGCATACGTTTTGCCATATCCCATAAGAAAACGACCAAGTCCAATTAAATTTTATTGACATTAATTTTGAAAACGACAGAACGTACAAGTAACGGTAGACAAGCATTAATTGAATTTATTTTAATAACATTAAATTACTATAAAACCTGTTATTAAGATTTAGAGATGACATAACTTGGGCATGCTATCTTACCTTTCATTTAAAGAAAAAATCACTACATTTGGTTCAGTAGAAAGCTCAGATTTCTTTCTGAATTAAAACCCCTCAGTGTTTCAAATATATTCCCAGCCTCCCCACCAACCTCTCCGTCTTCTCCTCGATCACTCATCCATTTCCTCTCACCACGACACTCCCATCCCACTCCCCCGGCCCAAACCATCCCTTCTCTCCGCATTCATTCTTCCTCACCCGCAGTCTCCTCGCCTCGTTCGCCCCTCTCACTCGCTCGCTCGCCCTTCCTCCGCCTGCCCACGCGCCTCTTCGAAAGTCCCCTCTCGAGACCTCCCCGCGGCCTCAGTCCTCAGTTCTCAGTCCTCGGGCGTCGATGCCTCTCCGCCAAATCCGACCCGCGAGCGAGCTTAAGGTCCGAGGAGTGGAGTGCGTTCTCGGAACTCAAACTCCTTTTGTGGCCTGCAACACCAGAGCGGAGTCGCAATTTCGCCTTTAGCGGATTAGTGTGATGGAAGACGGTTGTCCTTCCATTTGCTTGCTTGCTCGCTTCCGAGGTCTTCTCCTGTTTTCTTCTTCTTTCGAAGACGTTAATTGGCAATACATCGAAGACTAAAATTGACAGATTTTATCAGTATATTACTCCTCTAATAGTATCTAATAATTTTCGCAATTAAGGAAAAACTGATCAAATCGCATTTTGTCCACTGGGAAAAACATTTCTTCAAAACGCATTTTAACACGCTACGTTCAATGCATTTTGAAGAAATCTGAAAGCCGAAGCGAGTAGAACGTAGACGTAAAAGTTACACGATTTCATAACAAATTCTTTTTTTTCAGCAGTGGATACTGGTTTTGATTAGTTACTCCTCGTTTATTTCTTTGTACTAAAACCAAAGTAAAAGTTACCTTGAGAACAATTGATTCAAGGATATTTTATCATAAACAACCTTAAAAATTTCTACTTCAGTAATGCAATTCTTAATACGTAAGAATGAATTTGACTCATCATGAGCATTTCTAATTTACTTTTATCTAAATATAAGGCCTTATTGTTATAATTTATTTAATGTTAAACTTCAATTCTTTAAGGTTCCCATAGATGTCAGAACTCATCCCTTCCTCAAAGAAATTAATTGTTAACTGAATATTTTGTAATATTTGGTGAGGTAAACAATAAAGTTTCGTAATTTGTTTTATATTACCAAAAAAATAGATTCTACCTTCCAAAGTAGGCATTTTATTTATATTTTCACAAAAAAATTTCTTTACCAGTCAGTGATTCAAATTTCATGGCGATATTGTAAGTGTTTTTTAAATGAAATTGAAAGGTATGTCTACATTTATTAAACTGCTAAAATTGCATTGTTTATTGTTTCTTCAATTTATGACTTCAGAAATGAAATTTAAATACTTATCTCAAATTATTGTGTTTTTTAGAAACGTTTTTCTCAGTGATTATTGTCCTGTAGTTATACGAGTAAGTACTATTGCATGTAGTTATTACTTGCATTAATACTGTATTACTTGGTTAAAAATGTGTTGATTTTGAAGGGGATTCTTATTAAGGTGTACATAATTACTCCATTACACAATGTGTATAATTTATAGCGGGCTTGAATTGCATGTTTATTTATACCGGGCATGAATTATCTGATCTCAATGCAATTAAAAATGAGAATAGACTTTTCGTTCATTATTTCATTTGTTAATGAACCCGTGGCAGGGAACTAAGTTGCATTACAGATTCATACAGTATTGATCCAATTAGTTTGCTACATGAACACATATTTGTAAATTAATTGTAATGAACAGTTAAACTTAATGCATTTGAAGAAAAAAATATTGAAGGGGAGTAAAAGTTGCGTTCAATGACTTTCTTTTTATGTATTCTTACGTTTCAAGGATCTGTACAATATATTTATCAATAAATCTATATTCTCTTACATTGGACAGCAAGAGTTAGTTTAATGAAATCGGCAGCATGAAATCACCACATTCTCTGTCATGAGTATCTGAAAAAGCATTCGAAGTGAATCACGAGGAAAACCTCGAATACAGGCATCAAATGAATCGTAATGAATGTATTACATTCCAGAGTTCAAAACGCTTGAAATTGTATTTCAGATTCCATTATCGCTCATATACACGTCCGTTACATTCAGTAATCTTGATATTCAATAACAGAAATGTTTCACTATAACTCGCGGAATGTCATTAAAATCAATTAACTATTGAACTCGCATTTTATTAGAGGATGCAGAGCAGAAATTGCAAGCTTCCGTTTACGCAAAATTTATCGAATCAAATTTTCTGCCCTGTTTCATATTAGTGAAAATATTGGAACTCGCCTGACTTAATATCTTTCCTCCGGATGTCATATCGCAAACAGGAATTACTAATTATTTCTTGTTTGGTTTTAGAACCATTCATAAAATGTGTGTTACATAATAGTTGCTGGTTAGAAAGAAACTTCAACAACATAGTAAATAACGTTAAACCGTCACATTAACAAAGATAAATAGCGAAACGTAAAATATTAAACGCAATGTTACAGACCATTTTGATTAACAGTAATGTTTGTTGACGATCGTGGATTTGAAAGAGTGGTGATTAGAGAAAATTAAAATGAAATATCATTTACTTGTTTAACCTAAGAAGAGCTTATGCCACTGTTATTTGAAGTTTCAATCTTCAAGTGATATGTTCATTGACGGTCGTGTAATAAAAATTCCACTTTTTTCATTCCTTTGAGTTCCTTTAGAGAGAATGTGTGAGACAACTGGTCACACGCATATCAGCAAATTGGGAAAAGTTGTATGGTGTGAAGAGTCAATTCTACTGGCGAGGATCAGCACATTCAAATCGGATCCGGTTACTTTAAAAAATGGCATTGGCTTCCGTATCAGACTGAACACCGACGGCTCTAATCAGCCCATATATTCTTCTCTCCTTCCGCTCCCTTATGGCCAGGAACATCACTTTTCTCTTTTTCTATTAAAACTGCTTGTTCCACTGCTCTGTAAATCTCTTGCAGATCGCACTCTTCCGTGAATAAGGCCGTGGTTTGCGTGCGTGTCAGTTCAGTTTGGATATTTATTAAATTAATTATTGTGAAGAAAGAATAGAAATGTTTGTGTTACAATCGACTCCGTTAAAAGAACAATTTATTTCAAAGAGTTTGTTAAATGCAGTTCTCCC